TGCGCGAGCTCTGTCTCTGAGAGAAAAAGGGAATAGGCGCAATCGTATCGCCTCAGGGTTAACACCATTCGCTTTCACAGTGTCTGCGTACTGCACAAACACTGACAGATGAAGATTCGGGTCGTCAGTAGGAGCTCCAGAAAACTGGTTCTGCTGAACGGCGGAAAGAAGCGAAGGTTTTAGCTCGAAATCGTTTCGAGCGATAGCAGGAGCAACAATACTATTATGAGGCTCTGCTTGAGAAGGAACAGCGTAGTCCTTAAGAGGACGAGGAGCAGGAGCATCAGGATCAGCCATCTTCTTGAGTTCTTCAACGTCAGGAAGTTTGGTCGGAGGAAGGTTGTTGCATTCTAAATACTCTTGAATTCGTCTCCTTAATCTAAGGTAACGCTTGATATCGTATATAGGTATATGCAAAGGCGCGCCTTGAGAGCGAGTATTTGACATACACAGAGGGAAAAGAAATAGTTGCTATAGTCTATACTTCGTAATAAAATTACGATATTAACTTAAATAGTCCCCGGCAACGGCGCCAAAAACTTGATCGCGACTTTATCGTCTAAATTAATCGGGAGACTGCAAGTATACAGCCCTATCGCGTAGTTTTAAAAGATATCGAACCTAAGGGACTATAAATCGAACTAACGTAACCTAAGCTACTGTGTAAAGCTATAGCTATCGAATAATTAATTTGGGGAATTTTTGGGTAATAAAACTTAATTCTAATTGAAATAATAATAATGCGAATATCGGTATGTACTTCGTTAACACTAAAGAATCCGACTTTCCTCAGGCTCGTTTTCTAAAAATGATAATAATATCTTTTTCAGCAAAAAGTATTTATTCAAAAATCTATTCTCAAACTTTCGCTCTATTGAAGTAAATTATAATTTTAAACTCTGATGTATGCTTTCGCTATCCCATTGATTTTAAAATTACTTTTTGAAAATAAATAAAGTTTAATTGGTTTTAAAACGCTGTCGCAGTCTTTAAAAACAATACCTAGCATCTACTATCTGATTCTAAACCTCAAACTGTCGCTCTATTGGTTTCTAATCTTAGTGGTTTATTAACCTCAAACTTTCGCTCTGTTGGTTTCTAAAACCTTTTTAACAAAATAAACTAGATAACTAAATCAGAAAAAGTGTTTATTTTATAAAATATAATCAAGCCTGTTTATTCCGGATCTATTCAAATTAACTCGTTACATACCGATATTTAAATGATTTAGCCAGACATACTCATAAAAACAGACATGGATACATTAAAGGAATTAACAATCATAAATAAATTCATGGCTAAATAAATATTCTCATGCAAATAATTAATTAAAGCGATGTAAATAAGGAACCTGAATTAAATAAATGCTGGAAACAGTCTTTGAAGCTTGAATCAATCCGTACAGAGTCTTCGTTCTTCAACGGGAATAAATTCTAAGTATTCGAAAAGGAAAAGAAACTGGCTGGAAAAATAACTACTAGGAGTTGAATTACAATGGAAACTAGTAAATGCGATGAAAGTAAAAATTCTGAAAACTGGAAAAATTCTAAGCAAAAACGGTCCAATTTTCACTTTCTAATGTCCTATTATAGTCCTCGAACGTAACCTCCTCTTCAGATATTTTTGTGTCCCACTTATCCTTAAATTTCTCGTTTTTTACTTGCCCACATTGAGACGGGCGCCTCAATTGACTTGTTCTCCATTGACCACGCTGAGACGGGCGCCTCCCACTAAGGGGAAAGTCCGAGGCGGGCGCCTCAATTGTAGGAGAAGAGTTGAGACGTGCGTCTCACTCTTGCATGCGCTTTTAGGGTTTTCTTGCCTGCGTGGGTTTGAATTCGTTTGGGCCCGTTTGGAGATAATAGACCCTTTTTGATCCATCATCATTGCTTTGCACACCCCTTTTTCTTCATTTCTTGCACCCTTAGTCCAATAACTCTCTCAATTTCTTCACTTTGCTCAATTTGTCTAAATAAAATGAAATACCTGAAACAATAAAAATACCGGCGTAATATGGAAATAAAATGAAATAAATAAATAAAAATACCAACATTACCTATGAAAATTAAATCAAATATACTATATAAAATTGCGTTATCACATATACCATCATTCAACTATTTAATGTCATGCCATATAATTATATTAATTTATTAATAAATAAATTAAAATTTTAAATCAATATAATCTATAGTATATCAATATTAAACTCAAAGATAATTAAGATATTTCTTGGGCAAAGAGAAGTCATGGTCAGTAACTGACCCACGTCTCTATTAGAAATAAAGATTCAACGGTCCACCGTTGATTGAGTGAGCGGTGACCCTTTTATAGAAAACCTTATGCCCTAGGGGCCTCTATAAATACTCTTCCCCCAAGGGAAGAGAACAAATCATTACACATTATTACACCCTAAAGCACAACACTTAACAAAGTCATAACACATATTGGCCATACCCCACACGCTTATACCCACGCACGCCGATCATCTTGAGAGCCTCTCACCTTATGTGAGCAAAATTTCTAAAACCACCAAATTATCACTGTACAAGGCTTCTCGCCGTCGTGAATAAACCCTAACCACCATATAATGTAATATATCTACAAAGGCCCATGAGTCTCCTTGTCTTTGCATGGGGAACACACCGACTTATACTTTTTGATCAGTACAAGTAGTTAATCTCTTATTATTCAAGAGAGCGTGGATAATTACCCCAAGATCTTTTATGCCCAGGTTTGACTAGGGACACACATCACTCCCCACGATCGCATGCTTTAGACAAATGACCAAGGAAGCAAATGACATATTTGAGGAGGGAGTGACTCATCCATAGATGGACACATAATCCAAGAAATGGACAACTATGTAATAAGGTGTGTGATATGTCATATCCCTTGCTCCACATCACCTCCTTGAAGGCCTTTTACAAATACACCAATCTAGAAATATATCATCTTTCAACTATTTTATGTCATATCATATATTTATATTAATTTAGAGATTATAGATAATGCACTGCCAGTGTAAAATAGAGATTCATCATTCAATCATGTCACACAACTAATTTAGCAGTCTATTTAATGCGTAAGATATGATAGAGACATGATATGATATAAAAGCATAATAAGAAAAAGATATAATATAGATAGGATAAGACTCATCCTATCATGTGTTTGACTTAGACACGATACCATATATATATATATATATATATATATATATATATATATATATATATATATATATATATATATATATATATATATATATATATATATATATATATATATATATATATATATATATATATATATATATATATAAATTTATAATTTTCTATAATTTTTAAAAGATTCATTGGCATTACCATGTAAATAATTTTAGTTTTTTTTGAAGAAAGATCATGAATTCTATTATATATGTTAGATAAGCAAAATAAAAATATGTATATATAATATAGGGTTAAATATGTTTTTGATTCCTATAAAATTACCAAATTTTATTTTTGATCCCTATAAAAAACATGTTTTGGTTCTTACAAAATTATTATACTCATAACTTTAGTCTCTCCTATTAAATCAATGTGTATTTTTGAATGATTATTTTACAGACATGTTTAGAACGTTATAAAAAGTTTCCCGAAAAAAAGGAACTCAAAGTTTGATTTCTAAGTCGAGGTTTTCATTATTTTTATCATTATCTTTTGAAATTTAAAAAATTTATATTTAATTCTTCTCATTTTAAAAAATTTATATTTAATTCTTCTCATTTTAAAAAATTTTAAAATTTGATAAAAAATATTTTATAATATTTTAAATACGCATGAAAAAAATTATTCAAAAATTCAAAAGTTTAAGAATAATTAAACAGTTTTTAAAATTTTAGAAAATAACAGAAACTAAAATACATGTATTAAAATTTTATAGGAACTAAAATATGTTATTTTTTTATAAAGACTAAAAATGAAATTTGAGATATTTATAGGGATAAAAAACATATTTAATCTTATAATATATAAATGACAAAACTATCCTTGCAAAAAAATATATTTTAATTGAAAAATAAAATTAGTATCTATATTTTTAAAATTTTAATAATTATTTTATTTTAAAATATTTCAATTTATTAAGTTTTAATTTTTTAATTATATAAAGTTAAAAAATTATTCTTATGACAATCATACATATTTGTTAAAAATTAATTTTTAATATTTTTTAATTTAATATCAAATTAATTTTTACTTATATTTTATCATATTTAATTTTTTATTTTAAATTATATTTTATAAGGACAAATTAGTTAATTATTTTATTATTTTATTCGGTTGAATTCTGACTCAACTCATGTTTATGATAACAATTTAAATAAATAAGATAAGATAAAATAAATTTCAATATTAACTTTTTATATCATATTGTATCATCAAACACTAAATTGAAATAATATATTAATTATATTATATTATATCTTGTCTATCAAATGGGTCTTAAAAATATTAGTGTGATTGATTAACCGTGTAAATGTAAAATCAGTGCATATTCTATTTTTCTATTTAATTTATTAGTAAATAAATTAAAATTTTAAATTAATTTATTCTAAAATATATCAATATTAAAGTTAAAGATAATTTATAGTTTATCAAATTTCATCTTCAATTTTTAATTCCCTCTCACACACAATCTTCTAAAAAAACTATACCGTTGAAATTAGGATTAATTACCATTTTGTTCCCTATTATATAGGGTGAAGTTCAAAAACAACCGGTAAAAAAACACATTGTAATTATAAATTCCCTTCTTTTATAATGAATACAAGATCAAAAGAACGATCTCACTGATCAATTACATCACATTCATAAGGTAACCTACTAATCAACCATTCCAATTCAGTTTCTATTCATTCCGATTCACTCCGCAATTTTCACTGAAATCAAATACTTCAATTTCGCAGACAAATTTTATTTTCCATTTTTTTCTTCAAATCTTTCGTAGCAGGCACTATGAATTTCTTGATTCGTTCCACAACGAGCGTGTACTCAGAGCGCACTCCGATTCCAGAACCTCGCACCGATGTTCATCAACGATCAGCATCCGCCGGATCTTCTTATGAGGCTCATAAATCTGATGTTTCTTATTCGACGTACGATTGTGATGTTGAATTGAATTCAAAACAGCGTGATTTGCCGGTTGCGGTTGTTGATAAGCACATTGATGTTTCTGAAGATGAAGGATGGATCACCATTCCGTGCAGTATGTGTTTGCTTCATCAATCGTTTTTCTGTTTGTTAGGGCTCATTTTTTGTTTGAAAGATTTAGCTAGTGTAGCAATTTATTTACCAGCAATGTTATTAATAGTTGATGAATGAACCAACAATTAAAGGTAATCCACAAGTGTTGTGTCAGTATCGGTTTTGACACATACATACATTTTTTCAGAGGTGTCAGTGCTACGGTGCTTTACTCTTTAATGTGATTAGTTGCGTCAAATCTTCCAAGCTGTTGGAAATGATGCTTTTTCTTTTTGTGAATTGTGCTTTTTAATTACTTTTTATGTTTGAGCATTTATAATAGCGAGAAAGAAAACCTTGTCATGATTGTTGATAGAAAATGGGGGGAAATGGTTGTTATCTTACATGTTAACGGCGTGAGGTGAGCTTATTGTATATGCATAATCTTTTAATTGAAATGAAGTGGTCGATATGGGATGCAATTATGAAGCACGGACACCAGAAACACAACGCCGACACTGACAGGTGATACCGATAATAATTTGAAAATATGAATAAATTAAATGCAATCACAAGGGTCAGTGTCGGTTTCGAACACAAACATTGACACAAACATTTTTTTCCAGAGGTGTCGGGTGCTAGAGAGGATGCAAGTGCTATAGACATGGTATCGGTTTTAGTGAAAAACTTAGGTCTGAACCAGCTTTGGTTATGTCTAGCGAAAGAGACCTGTTCTCCATAATGTGGGGCACCGTGTTGGGTTTTTGTGCTGCAAATGCAGTCACTTGATAAATGGGGAATTTAATTGATATCTAGATGGGCTATATGTTGAGCTTTTCAATAGTAATGTTGGGGAAAGTTGGCTTGTTTCGACTGTCTCTTATTTTCTAGGTCTAGAGGCAATTTCTTAATTTGGATTGTTATTTGCTTCAAACAGAAATTGAATTATAATCATGGCATGGTTTTTGTTGGCATTTAGTTAGATAGTAGAATTAAGCAATGCATATTCTTTTCCAAGAGTTTTATGTGATGTTATGTGCCCGGTTGCTCTGCATATATAATATAACGTGATGCACCTTCTATTTTGTAGAGGAACTTCCTGAAAACTGGGATCATGAGCCAGATATACAATCACTGCGCCCTCTTGATCGTTCCTTTCTTTTTCCGGGTATTAGATTGATTCATTCTTTAAAATATGCTAATATCAGTTGAAGCATATGTGATTTGGTCAGCTGGCTTCCAAAAAAAGTTGAGCGGACCTAATTTATACCAATAATTCAGGTGAACAAGTTCATATCTTGGCATGCTTGTCTGCATGTAAGCAGGATACACAGATTACTCCTCCATTTGAAGTTGCTGCAATGACAAGAAAGAATGGCCGAGGTCAAAGCCCCGAGAAAGAAAGTGGAAGCATTGAAAACAGAAATAATTTAGTATCCGGAGAAGAAGAACTGAGTACCAGTGGTGAAGAGAAGCAGGGAGATATTTTTGATGGTGACTCCCTTCACAAGGAGGTTCACAAAAGACAAACTGCATTGCTGTTGCAAAAATTTGAAAATTCTCACTTCTTTGTGAGGATCTCTGAGTCCAATGAGCCTCTTTGGACCAAAAGAAGCTCTGTAGAATTTTTTTCTAATTCTTCTGAAGCAAATGGTCAGAAGGCGCCAACAATTAAAACTAGAGAGACTGCACTTCCTTCCATTGGTACAGTTATTGATAAAGGAAATTTTGATGCAACTGTTTGTGGTGGCACAGCGAGAAATTCTGTCAAGTGTTTCACTTTACCTAATGGAGACATAGTGGTATGTATTACAACTTTTTGGAAACTATGTGCATGCAATTAATTTATTTAAAGTTGGTAGAGAAACAGAAATTTTGTTTGCTTGGACCTTAAAATTTTTTGTCAGATGGCAATGGCATCAGAGGCGGAGCTTTGGCTACCCCCAAAAAAAGTGATTGTTTTATAACATGTATAATTTACATCTAAAAAAATGTAAGTGTATTTTTATATTTAACTATCTTAATGATATAGATTTAGCTACCTAACAAATTCATTTGACTAAGGAGATATCAAAATGAAAAAAGACGCCAATTAGTCATGAGTTTGATTTGTCGAAGTGTTGCCAAACTCAACTTTTCAAATAACTATTATCAATTTTTTTCCTTTGTAGTTGCTTCATTTTAGATAAGTAAAAATTATTGTTAAGTTTTTTGCTTGAACATATTAACTTTAACAATATATTTTAGTTTTTTCTTAATACATACAGCCCCTCGCAAAAATTACTCTGCATTGAAATTTGAGATAGACACAATGTTCTATTGAGATGAGGGGTTTCTTTTTAGGGCCAATATTTTATTCCATGCCCAAAGACATTGTCTTCTTCTGTCTTGTCAGTCTCTGATTAGATGGTTCAAATATCCAGGGGGCTGCTACTAAACTTGTTATTGGATCTTATTAGGTTTATCGATTCTCTTTTGTGCTCAACTCATAACTTTTTAAAGGGGTTTGTCCTTACTGACATGCAGATTGCACATCATTTTTTCTTATATATACTATATAGTTTTTCTTTTGAAAGATATTTTGTCGTCATACTAGATGTAGTTTTCTTCTTCTTGGTAATGAAACCTTTTTCCATAGAATTATTATTCAGATTCATACTCTGTCTTTATGTAGAAGTAGCTTTTACTGGATCAAGACTTGGGAATTTACAGTTCAACTCTCTAGTTCATCCTGTTAAATGCTAGTGAAACTCGCGGTGAATCTTTCAGTAAATCTGTAAATTTTAGTGCATCTATATGAGATTATGCAATGAGTTTACTGTATGTCCTGCTTTTATTCATGGTGTAACAGCATTATAATAAACGCTATAATAATTTTATCTGGTGCATTTGTCTCATAAAATTTCTTTATGGTGTGATGATAATTGGGCCTGCAATATAGCTTGTCTAGACCATATTTTTTACAACGAGAAATTTGTTGCTTTGCTCCAGACTTCTCTTTTGCACGCTATCACCTTGGTATCTTCTTTTTATTGAACTTATGTATTTATTAAATTTTAAATATCTTCTTGTGGTGTTTGTGTTGCCTCTTTAATGCCGCTGGTATCATTCATGAAAATTTGCTGGAAAATCTTAATGGACCATAAATGCTTTCTATGTAACTACATCTCAACTCTTGAGGTGTTTTTAGCCTTCAATATCCAGAATCTCTTATTTATGATTGAGTCTTCTCAAGTACTCTGATTCCTGATCTAATTAATTTTTCCTGTTTGCAAGGATGCAGGTTCTTTTACAAGCAAATGTTAGTGTAAATTTTCTTAAAGACCCTTGTATAGAAATTCTCCAATTTGAAAAGTGTCAGGAGAGAACATTGTCTCCCGACAGTCAGGTGAATGAAGTTTGTACAAATCAAGGTCCATGTGCAGAGCTGTTAAATTGGATACTTCCATTGGAAAATGGGAGGCCTCCTACGCGCTCAGATTCTCATCATCATTTAACTTCAAATTCAGGAATTGGTAGCACTTCTCATAGGTCCAACCTTTCAGCACCAATTGGCTCTCCGTTATTTGCTTTTGGAAATTTCAGAAGTTACTCCATGTCATCATTACCGCAAATTACAAACACACCCAGTGCTCCTGTTAAAGCAACTAGTTCTAAGCAAAACTTTGACCTAGACGATTGGGATCAAATTTCATCTCTCAATTATTTTTGGAAAAAAACTGGGGTGGAAGAACTTCTATCTTTTCGAGGTGTCTCATTGGAGCGAGACAGGTTTTCTGTTTGTTGTGGATTAAAAGGCGTCTATATACCTGGTAGAAGGTGGAGAAGGAAACTTGAAATAATTCAACCTGTAGAGATTCATTCTTTTGCTGCTGACTTTAATTCAGAGGATCTTCTTTGTGTTCAGATAAAGGTTTGAACTATGATTTCACAGATCAAATTATATGACTGTTACTTTTTAATTATGTTATATAGTATTATTTTATGCTTCTTTTTTTGTGCCTGTCTACTATCAGCTGTTTCTCTGTTCTTTATCAACAGTTTTAATTTGTTCTCCAGAACATTGCTCCTGCACATGCTCCAGATATTGTGATATATATAGATGGCATAAATATTATATTCGAGGAGTCTACAAAAAATGGAGCAGTGTCATCTTTGCCAATTTCATGTGTTAAAACTGGAGACGATCATTCTTTACCAAATCTAGCCCTCAGGTTATTTCCTGAATAAATATCTTAGCAGATGTCTAATAATGTTTATGATCTTTCTGTATATAAGTATGTCATGTTATGCTACATTCCTGGCTATTCAATTGCATACGCATGTTCTGATCTGAGGGACACCCCCCAAACACCAAAAACAAATCCTGCAAAAGAGGGCTAAGGGTGGTTTCATAATGATACTTAAGCGACATAGCTATGTATGACCACGGGAGTTCAATATGAATTCGAGAAAACCAAAAATATCAATGTGGCGATATATAGGTGTACTGGTAGCTTAACTGATGTTTTTGTGAATTTTGATTAAAAAATTGTTATATAGGTTTAGGAGTTTTGACGAGGGGAAAGGTATTATTGAAGGGAGGGGAAGAAAAGAAATGGGGGGTTTTTGGAGGTCAAATAAGGAAATAGGGGATGGTTTGGGCAGTAAGGAGAAAGTTAACAAAAAGAGTTCCAAATGTAATATTTCACTCCAAGCTTTGAAGATTTAAGTATAAAACTCCTTGGAGATATCTCTTTTTTTTCAAACATAAGAAATTTGTTTTTCAGTACACAATTGTAATTACATTCACTTTTAATTCGTAATATCTTATTTGACTCAACAGATTTGTAAATAGTTGGACAATATAGAGAGGCCATAAGGCACAGAGAGGACAATATCGTTAAATCTTAAAAGGTTTTTACTTTAGAGGGCTATTGAATTCCAACAAATCCATTTCCCTTGTTTAATAAATTTTCTAAACACAGAAATGGTGCTTCTTCCCTACTCTTCTTCCTTCATCTCTTTTTCCAAAGCATAACCTATGAAAAATGCGGGAGCAACTTTTCTTCCTTTATCTCTTTTTCCAAAGTATCTATGAGAAATGCCGGAGCAACTTCATTCTGTTTTTATTGTGGTGGGATTTAGGGTTATTGATGGAAAAAGGAATGAAGTTGGTAAATATAGATGAACTGCAGTTTGAAGAGATTAAGTTAGTCTATTGAAAGATTTGAGGAAATGCAAATATTATTATGGATTTTTATAGGTTTAAAGGTAAAAGTTGAGGAAAGCATAAAAGTGAGGCCTATTCTTTTGATAAGTAAATATGTGGATTTAAAAGTGCATGGTTGCTTTTGATGATGCTAGCATCTACTCTAATTGACTTGTGTTTATAAAGCTAAAAGCATACTACTCTATATCATTGTAGTAATGATACCTCAGAAGTCAGATTGCTTTACTTGGTATTCTGTGAAACCTCTCATTAAGGAAAACTGACTTTGGTCAAGTTTGTAGCGGTAATGTTTTTAAGTGGCAGTTATTATATTTTTTGGAGAATTTAGTGACAGCTAAAACATTATTAGGAGCAGTTGTGCTTTATTAATTTTGCGTATAAGTTTAGAATAAAAAGGGGAAGACGGGAATGTTTATTATTTTAGACTTATTGAGTAGTTAGTGGGAGAGAATTAACTCTCAAATATTTGGGAAGGGGAGAGAGAACCGAGCTCTCAAAAGTGGGTGTGCTTGTGTTATTGTTATTTCTTTGTAATATTCTTATCATTATTGTAATGTCTGTGCGGGTAACTGATTAAGAATCATTGGCCAGAATTACTATCAGTTAAATGTTTGCATCGTGCAAATTACCATCATTCAGTACCAGTTTCTATCATATTGATAATTTACCATATAACCATTAAAGTGAATGAGTTAATTGAATTAATGCGATCAAGATTCAATGCAATAGGCCAATCATATATTTATGATGTTTTCAACAAATATAGAAATATGGTCTTGGATAGAATATTATGCCGGAATTTGATCCATGTAGCCGACTCTACTTAGCGGGATAATGTTTGGTTGTTGTTGTTGTTGTTGTTGTTTTTGTTTTCAACAAATAATTATAAGCTCATATATAGTGAAGGCGGTGATTTTATCTTTTTGTATTGAAATCAATTTGAATAGATGTTGGACAATAAGGGGAAAATAAATGTGCTTAGTAAAATCAATTTGTGTTGAAATCAGTTTGAATAGATATTAGGAAAATATGCTTAGTAAAATCATACTCCATCCGTCCCACAATGAGTGACCCATTTGGAATAAAATAGTGTCCTAAAATGAATGATCCGTTTCAATTTCCAATACACTTTTTCCAGTTCTACCCTCTAGTTAATTGAAATTTCATCATTCTCAATACATGATAAATGTACTATAGTAAAAATATTATTCTCTCTCTTACTTTTATACATTTTTCTTAATTTGTGTGAAATGATAGGCTGGATCACTCATTTGTGGGACGGAGGGAGTAATTTCGTTTCAGAATTAGCTCTAATAACCGTCTTTATCTTACTAGATGTTTCTGCTTACAGGAGAGGTGAAGAACATTCTTTTATCCTTAAACCAGAAACTTCTACATTGAAGAATCTCAAGGCGCAAGATGATAGAAATTCCCGTTTGTCAAAGCTATATGGAAATACAGCATCAAAATTAAGTCTTGATCAGTATGCAATTATGGTGTCATGTCGATGCAATTATACATGTAGGCTTTTTGCTTCCTTGTTTCTTTTTGTGCTATCTAGTGAATGCTAAGATGTTAATTTGATGTTTTCATGTGGTTTTCTCACTTAATCTAGCATCAAGGTTGTTCTTTAAACAACCAACTAGTTGGATACCACGAAACTCGAGGGATATCATGATCTCTATTGCATCACAGATGTCTGGAAAACCTCCTGGAGCTCATGAAAAAACTTATCAACTTCCTGTGCAGGTTACTACTATACGCCTAAGTCTTGTATGTTGGAACCTCACATAGGAGCTCATTTGTTTTGGTTTGATTATGTTCCAACTGAAATTACAGTTACTTTTATACTTCTATCAGAAAACGATTATTAATTTATGTTCATTGATTTAATTTGGTCAGATCTTAACTCTTCAAGCTTCAAATTTGACATCTGAAGATCTAACTTTGACAGTTCTAGCTCCAGCTTCATTTACTTCACCCCCTTCAGTGGTTTCCCTGAATTCACCGACGACTCCAAAGAGTCCTTTTATTGGTTTTGCAGAGTTTTTAGCAAGAACAAATGGTGAAAGAAGTATCGGTGCCAAATGGAAAAAGAGCTTCAATGCTATTATGAAAAAAAAGGTGGAACGAAGTTTCGATGTCAAAGCTCAGACAGTTTCTTTGAGTGATGATGTCATTCCCAGTTCCGGTATTAGTTGCACACATCTATGGTTGCAAAGCAGAGTTCCACTTGGGTAATATATAAGATCTCATTTTTATTTCTGTGGAATTTTTAACTGATCTGGTTAATTTAAAACCATATGTTTCTACATCAGATGTATTCCATCTAAATCTGTAGTCACTGTCAAGCTTGAACTACTTCCATTGACTGATGGCATAATTACGTTGGACTCTCTGCAAATTGATGTCAAGGAAAAAGGTAGTGACCGCAGCTCATTTTTACCAAGTTTTTCTTCTTAACTGTGTTCGAGCTTCCATTCAAATGAATATATTTACATCCTGGTGTAACAGGTGTTGCCTATATTCCCGAATGCTCCATGAAGATAAATTCAACTTCCAGTATCTGCAAGGGGCTTATGTAGAGCTGACATTTAGCAGCTCGCATTTCCTTCTGCATTTTTCTCTGGTGCAGTGTAAAAAAAAATCAATGCTTTGGTTCAACTCATTTCAAAATTGTTTATGCAACCTACTCTTGGCGGATTTTCTTGGAACAAAAATGCTCAAGCAACTTACTGTCATTGATAAATCGTCAGTCATTTGGTTTGAAATTGTGGTTAAGTTGGCAAAGAGCATCTTGATGCATTGTACTGGGCAGCTGCAAACCGATTGACCAAGTTTTTCAGATTTCTATACTTTATATTTGGATGGAGGGAAATCAAAATGAAGAGAAAGATCGGTAAATACTTTGGATTCAAATGAAGAGAAAAAGTGTCGTTCTTCTTGTGAAAATGTTGGTGATTATAGTACCTAAACCTTTTTTTTAAACCTTTTGTACAAAAATTATAATTGTAAGAGAATTGTTTTCTCTTTTTTTCCTTCTTTTTCTTTTATGAATGTGATTAGCATCAAAGGGGTCCTTCCATTAATAACTTCCCTCAGAATATTTTCTTTTATGAATGTGACTAGCATCAAAGGGGTCCTTCCATTAATAACTTCCCTCAGAATAAAATATAAATAAAAGTTTTAAATAGTTGATATATTTAAAGTTAATTTTAAAGTAAACACATCAATTTTATTTTATGTCATGGAAGTAGTTATTAGAGGAAAAGAGCCGCGCTAGTGGCTACTTAAAATTTTCCTAAGGTTAATTTTAATACCGGAAACTATAGTTGTTCGTAAAAGTTAATCAAAAATAATTTTTTATTTCTCTGTAAATATTGAATTACATTTAAAAAAAAATATTGAACTCCAAGATTTTCATAAGTTGATGAATTTTTATGGTTTCAAACATTAATTTATGTGTTTTCAATTCTTTTTGATCTTTGCGGATTAAAACTCAATTCAACGTGTCGTTTAAAGTTATAATTTTATATGAGAAAATGGTTAATGCATTCGTAGTGTAATATTGTTTCATAGTATAATATAGTTTTATATCGTCAACTAATACACCGTTAATTTATCACAATAATGTATTCAATAAATCATTTTTTTTATTTTAATTTTTTTTAATGACATAATATAATGTTTATCTTCTATTAAATTACAATGTAAAATTATAAAACTATTTTATATTCAACTGTTATCACCTTTTAACTCATTTTGTATTAGGAGGTGATATTTAGACATAAAAAAGTATTGAATTTGTGGAAGTTTAAATGAATTGAATTTTCTTAGAAATTAAATTGAACTTTTTTTTGGGTTACATGAGAAAAAGAAAAGAGAATAGACTAGTTCCTTATAAATGACACACCTAAAGCATGTGCTAAAAGGGTTGATGAAAAAGAAAAGGCTATTAGATAATGATCAAATGATCTAGACTATTGTTGAGAATCAAGTGTGAGGAAGAAGTCTCATATTGATTATAAAAGGGAAGATTGAACACTTATATATGAGAGAACCCACTCATCTATCACCTTAAGGTTTTAGATGGACAAGTGGTGTGTCTCTCACAAAGGTGTGTCCCAAGTAAAATGCTCTCTCCTCGGAATTGCCCCTACAGTGGTATCATGAGCCTTTAGTTTCGAGATAGGGACCGGCTTACTTGTATCGAGCGATGGTTAGTTTCGAGATAGGGACCGGCTTACTTGTATCGAGCGATGGTTAGTTTCGAGATAGGGACCGGCTTACTTGTATCGAGCGATGGTTAGTTTCGAGATAGGGACATTCCACATGAGGGGGAGCATTGTGACTCACACTTGAGGGAGAGTGTTGAGAATCAAGTGTGAGGAAGAAGTCCCACATTGATTATAAAAGGGAAGATTGAGCACTTATATATGAGAGAACCCACTCATCTATCACCTTAAGGTTTTAGATGGACAAGTGGTGTGTCTCTCACAAAGGTGTATCCCAAGTAAAATGCTCTCTCCTCGGAATTGCCCTTACAACTATTAACTCTTATTTTAGGAGAGATTAACATGCCACTCTCAAAATTATATATGGTATTCTCCAAAAAAATTTATTTTATTTTTATTTTGAATGAGTTGAACACAATTTTTAGACAAAATTTTTGGTAGAAGGATTAGAATTTCTAGTATCACCCAAATTTCTGGTACACTCCTACGAAATTTCCAGTACCATAATTTCTGGTAGTGTATATACAATTTCCGGTATATCAGAAATTTTAATTAATTTGAAAGTTATGGTAGTATTAAAAACATGGTTTTTTAAACGGCTGAGATTTTGCCGACATATTTGGATGGTTCTAATTGCACTGACACATTTGTGTGGTCTATAATGCATCACCATTTGTATAAATAGAGGCATCTGTTATAGAGAAAATACATCTAAAAAAAATGTTTCTTCCTCAATTTCTGATTAAGGCATAAGTCTATTACAATGACTTCAATCCTCCTGTTGAATTCAAGCTTTTAGATGGCTCTGAATTCTTTGCCTCCTTGAAAGAAACGTTGAATAATTTACTGCCTAATTCCGATAATATAAGGGTGACAAATGTAGAGTTTTGGGAGGATTGGATTGATATAAATGGAATGGTAAAATATAACCTAATCGAGTTGAAGAATGATGAAGATGTGAAGGCCATGTGGAAATCATTTCGCCGTAGGATAACTAAAGGTCTGATCGAGTTGGATGCACAAATTCGAAGATCCGTCAACGATATAATGAAGTGTCTGAAACGTCCAAAATCTTCCGGAAGTGCCTAGCTAGGTTTTCTTATTTTGTTGTTTTTGGTTTATGTTTGTTGTACCGTTTCATGTTTGTTGTTTTTGGTTTATGTTTGTTGTACTGTTTTATGCTTGTTGTATTGTTCTAGGGTTTCACCAAAAAAATATGCAATAAATAAGATGTTTATTTGTCACAAAATATACATATTATACAACCAAAATAAAATAGATCTACATAGACCCTACACGAGCTATATCAACTAACCTAGATAAACCTCTATATATCTCAGCATCCGAGTTTACCAAACCCATGAGACTGTCAACATGAACGGAAATAAACTGGAGTCGGCTATCCTGATCTCCTGCAGGTGGTGGAGGTGGTGGTGGCGGCTCGATAGATGGGCTAGCACCAGAAGGCCCCGAGACATCCGCTGCTGCAGCCAGTGGTATGACCCGAAGATGTGACACACTATGAAAGCACTCCATGTATCCATCCCCACACTTCCCAGGCTGCTGAACCTCGATGGATATATCCATGATCTCATGGGGAGATGTGAGGATGTAACTCTGAAACCATCTATCAATCCCACCAGATGGAGACTCTGGAACTGGATGAGAGATGCCCTGTACATAACCATACTGACGTAGACACCTCTTAGGAAAGTGTCTATCCACATGACTCTCCCATCTAATATGCCTTGAATATAATGTAGATACCCCAAATGGACGATGAGGGCAATTAGATATATAGGGTGTCTAGACAATATCATCCAAGGTCATAGCGTCAAGGCTCCTTTAGTATTCCATCAAACCTCATGGAATGGCCTGCTTGGCCTTCCATCTCCTTGCATATGGCTCAGGTTCCATGACATGCTGGATCTTCCGCTTACAGATGTGAGGTAAGTGCTCGTATATCCAACACTGTATAAATAAAAACTATCATATAAATACACTCAAATAATTAATAAAAACCATCAAATAAATTATAGTATACCTGTAACAAGCTCAGGTAACCAGCAAGCTGTCTGGTCTCAGGACGAGAAGCAACGTCAAGTGTCGAGTACATCATGGTCAAGGCTGCCACTCCCTAAGCCCAACATGGAGTGTCAAGTGTGCCGAAGAGAGATAAGTACCAAACATCAATATAAACTCCAGACATATCTGCAAAGAGAGTACATGCCACCAGATGTAGCATGTACGTCCTAGCGGCAATCTCATACCTATGTGCCTCCACAAGCTCCTTATACAAGCTCCTCAACCAAGACATCTGAAGGTGAAATCCACGAGTCTCACCAAACTCCTTCAGCACCTCCACCTCAGAACACTCCAAATCCTCCATAACCATGCGCACGACCGTCGTCTGGTCCCTATAAACTGGTGTAAAAAATGTACCAACAATAAAAATGTGAAAGAGGACATCCACATCATCTAAAGTCACCGTTATCTCCCAAATGGAAGATGGAAGGATGATGTCTCTGGGTGCCACCTCTCAACAAAAGCTGATAAAAGGGAGGCGTCCAACATGGTCAAGGAACAACCAGCAAACTCCAAGAGATGGAACTCTCTAACGATCTTCCTCATCTCTTCAGGCATGAGACTATCAGGGAAGTTCTTCAACTTCGACCCATGAGAAGCGACCTCAACACAGGACGCTCCTGTAAGAAGAAAAAACAAATTATTATACATCATATGTTGTAAGTAAAAATAAAAATTATGCAATTAAACGAAATCAAAAATATATACCTCGCCTTGCCATATCCTATACGCGACATGGTCCACAAATCCTGTCAGCACAGACCTGTCTGAAGTTCCACTAGGGAATCCTCCATCAGTGTGTACTGATGGCTCTATAGATGCACGAGTTGTGGTGCCTGTATCAACGGGTACACCTCATCAACTCACTCAACAATAACCTCCTGCTCAGGCTCCTGCACCACAGGCTCCACAATAGGACATGAGCCTGTACCTCTTCAGCTACTGGCTCCACAATAGGAGCAGGAGCCTGTACCTCCTCAGCAGGAGCAGGAGCCTGCACCTCCTCAATGGATACTCTATGACCCCGATGACGAGGTGGGTGGAACTGCACATTCTACTCAGTCATCCGTTTTCGGTGAGAATCGGTTGGAGGATGACGTCCAACCCGTAGCTCTGAATCCTGTGCCTCGTTAGCACAAGTTTTAGCATCAGCTCTATCAGTGGTCCGTCCTGCAATGGAACCATCTCTGCCTCTGGTCCTCACTGCAAAAAAAGAAAATATCAGGAAAATAAAAATTACCGAAAATTTCTAAATTTCCGGTAAT